TGGTTCTATTTGTATGATATTTGTATACAATAATGCATGGATATGAAACAATGTCCAGAATAAAGTTAAGAATAATAAACATTTATATATGAAATGTGTATTACTCCATTGACGTATTCGTATATTTGATGAAGTAATTAAAGTTCGATCAATTGATGCTAATATTAAATAAAATGATGGAAGACATGCAAATAAAAAACCTAAATAATAACGTATACGACAATAAATAAGATTATATGAGCCAGGTTCAATATTATAACCAATTTGAAGTATTGCTGGTAGAAATGAGAAATAAAGTAAAAGTAAACTTGATAAATTAAATGCTATTAAACAAATTGAACAAGAATTTTTCCGTAAATTATTTCGTGTAAATATAATTAGATTGCATATACAACTAATAGTACCAATAAATAATAAAACTGGACCACCAATTACATATAAATTTATTGGAATAGTTTCTAATAACTTCATAGAATCGACTGATGTGGGCATATGAAAAGAATATACTGTTTAACTTCTAATTATATTTTAAGCATCTGGTTTCTTGATTTATATTTACTTCTATGTTTACAATTATTCAACAATCATACTTCAGAAAGAAAATGAGCCTATTTCTAATTGTGAGTAAAAAGTAATATGAGAACATTTTTTTTATATTAAATTATTAAAATTAGCATTGTGTAAAGAATATGATTTATTATAGAATATATATATAGATGTAAAGAAGAAATGAAATTTGAACCTTAGTGCACTAATCAATGATTGACTTTCTTAAAGACTAACGTGCTTTTTCCCTATTCAGAAATTCGCTCCTGTTTAATAATTGAACTTTCGAGTTAACATCCGAAAAAAAAATATTTGTGAGAATATACTATTTCGTTGTAGCTATTTCAAATTGTAAATAAGTGCCTGTGAACAAAAACAGTTTACTATGGATGTAATTTCAACACAAATTAGCAGTTTGATTAATAATCAAAACATAATTTGTCGAGTACATTTTATTTTTAGAACTTTTATTCTAAGTTCATTACTTTTAATTCAATGATTTAGCTTGAATTATATATCCTCATTAGTTTCAAATACTAAAAATGAATACAAAACGTATATGCTTTTTGATTATAGGCTAAGTTATTGCTTCTCTATCGATAATATAGTTATATGATCTTTTTCATTAAATGATTTTGATTAGGCGTACAAAATGGTAGGAACTAGTGTATATATCTTGATCTAAGTTATATAGCGTGAGTAACATACGCTGAGATGATTACATATCTATGATCATTTGTCTCTTTAAGACTTGTATACATCTTCGTTCTCATATTTGAGTATGGAAAATAGCAGAGACTTTTGTACTCATAAGTACCTGCCGATATAAACTAATACTCATCCATAACTAAAAAGTTTCACTAATATCGACAACTTTAAATGAATACTAGTGAATAACGACGTGTATCGATTATGATGAACATTATTACTACTTAGTTTAAAATAATTATCGTCTAATTAATGACAATATAAATCAAAGATTGAGCACACCTTTGTCTTACTAATTTTAATTTCTTTCATGACAAACTTCACAAGGAAATTTGAACAATAACTTATACTTTTTGATGAATGCATTTAGTAATATGAAAGAGTAATACACTTACTACTACTTATTTCATATCGAGAAATACATTCAAACTTCAGTTGATCGAATTCATATATTACTGAAATCAATCTTTTCGTAATATATTTTTATTATTATGGAACACTTTTATAAATTAATTTATCATCATATCCAATGTTTTAACTATAAATTTCATAATAAATTTGTTACAGGTTAGTTAAAGACAATGGTATATTTCTTGATAAATGTTGGATAGACTAAAGATCTATACTATCTTATAAAATGCATATAAATACAGGACGACGTACTCCTATTCAAATCTATAATTGTAAAAATATTTGATAAACAAACAAAGTTCATCGTTGAACAGCAAAAATACAATACAATATCGAATGTGATTTATCAAAAAAAATTGTATTGAAATGCCTATATATGTTTCAACCGTTGAGAAAAGCTTTTATCCTTGTTAAATAATACGATATGATTCTTAGACGACACGCTACAAAAGAAAACGATACGAAACTCTTTTAAACGGTTAAAAATAAATAACTTCGAATGTTTTTTTAATCTCCGAGGGTCGAACAGTTAGTCATTGCATGTTTGATGTAGATATAATTAGAAATGACATGCTTAACAAAGCACACGCTCTCTCTCTATTTTTCAAATATACAACACTTATAAACGAAGACAATCTAATAATTATAAATGATAATTAAAAACATATTTCAGATTCTCAAAAAGAAATGTTGTTAATCATATAGATCTAACAAGGATTGAGCGGAGGGGTAAGTGGAATAATCAACCGACACTTAGATCCCTCCCTCCACTTCGCGGAAGCCCTGTCATTATATTACATTTTTTAGCTAGGTAAATGTTATTTTTAAATTATTCTATTTCTGTATCTTTTTGAAGAGCCGTTATATTTTCTATAATATATAATAAAATATTATGAATATTTTTTTTTTGAAATAGTTATCTCAATAAAATAAATATGAGTATAACTATATATAAAATCTCATTTACTATGGTTCACAAGAAAAAGTTTCAGAGTTTTTGTTAAACAGTAAGAATAAAATTTTCTTTTTACTTAAGTATTATATAGAGAAGTATTAAAGAAAAACTAGGAGGAGAAATACACATGCATATTCGCTACATTTATCACTCTAATTAGTTCACCTTTATAAAATGGTCCATTATCTTCTTTTACTTTTCAGTATTAATAATAATGTATGCATTGTTTCTTCACACATTATTATTACATTAATATATTACTAAAGTCATTCAGATATAGACTTTTAACGTAGCTTATTTTTATTTTAAGTTTAATTTCTAAAACATGTCTTCTTATATTTAAACTAATTGAAGCATGGATCCATTTGTTTCTATATCAATTCTTTTTATTGCATGTCATGTCCATAATCACCTCCATTTACATTGGAAAACATTATCTTTTTGTAAACTAACAAGAAAAAATAAAACAAATCATTTCATTTAGAATCATAATCATCTAAAACAAAAACTATTGAATTTCAATGTCATCATCATCATCAATCATTACATCTCTTGCACTTATTGGTCAACAAATTACTATTTATTGTGGTATATCTCTTCTTATTGCAGGTACATTAGGTGGATTTATTCTTACTATTGTATTTCTTAGTCTTCAAGTATTTCGACAAAGTTCATGTGCATTCTACTTAACCATTATGTCAATTGTTAATATCGGTCAATTGTTCACAGGTCTCTTATCTCGTATTATGATTACAGGATTTTCTATTGATTGGACTACAACTTCATTATTCTATTGTAAATTTCGATTATATTTTGCAAATGTTTGTGCACAAACATCTTCAACATGTTTATGTTTAGCAATTATAGATCAATATTTTGCTACTTCTGCTCATCCCCGATGGCAACAGTGGAGTAATATCAAAATAGCTCATCGTTTAATCACATTATTCATTATTATTTGGGTCTTATGTGATATACCATTTTTAATTTTTTACAATCAGATTTACTCTACAAGTATAAACAAGGTTACTTGTGTTAGTACAAGCACTATTTTCACACAATATCGAATTTATTTTAATGCTCCTGTTCTCGGAGGATTTCTACCTGTCTGTATTACATCATTCTTTGCAATTATGGCTTATCTTAATGTGCAACGCATTGCGTACCGCACAGTACCTCTCGTCAGACGAGAACTAGATAAACAATTGGCCTCCATAGTTCTGGTGCAAATTCCCTGTACTATTATTTCTACTGTACCATATGCTATTACAAATATTCTAACATCAAATCAAAACTTAATGGCTAATCAAGTTACCTGGGCACAAATACAATTTGCTTCTTCAATGTCTCTCTTGTTACTCTATGCTGGATCTTGTGTAAGTAAATATATGTGTGTTTTAATAAAATTATAAGAAAAACAAATCTATATTTTATTTAGACTCTATTTTATGTTTGTATATTGGTGTCAGAACGATTTCGTCGACAGTTGATGTTTGTTTTAACAAAGATCTTTTGTCACCGATGGACAGGACCAAATGAAGTTGCTCCTGTTCAGATAGCAATAGAAGCATAAATTAATAGCTTTTTTAAAAATTTTATCATTTATTTTTAAATAAACACATAATGCGAGAGAGTTGGAGAACTAGAAATTTTAATTATTCTGATGTAAAAATATGATTATTGAAGATTGATTATTTTCATATAAAACAAATTATCTTAGACGAGATTTACAGTTAATGATGTGAATATCAAGGGGGGGGAACTGATTTTTAGCCAAAAACTATCGAGAAATCAATCGAAGTTAATTATAGAATTCTTTTTAATCATGTGAATATAAGTTTCATAAATTTATTTGATATAGAATCGAAAAGAAGAAGTATATACTAATTTTGATTAATTTAATGCTTATTAGTATGATCTGTGAACGATGTATTTTCAGTGAAGAGGGTTACTTACATCAGCTGCACTTTTTACCTTTAATACGTATATTACTTCATGTAATTCTCTGATATAAAGATTGAGACAACCAGCTAGAAATACAGTCAAATAGAATAATAATATCACATCGATATTATTTATAGTCGAAAAAAGATAAATTGCGAAACAGTACTTCATCGGATAATATTTACACACATGAACAGAGATAAGTCAAGGTCAGTCTTCAATAACGGTACGGAATTAATATACATTTAAGAAAGCATTACTTTACTACGTGTCATAAGTACATATACTATTAAATCTGTATAGTAAAAATGTACTATGTAGACAATATTTCTATTTTACAAAACACAAATTAATATTATTATTCAACTTTGATATAGTTTCTTTTGAGTTACTATTAATGGTAGCAAAAGATATCTACATAAACAAGCTGCATGCTGGTATTTACAAAATGGTAAACGTTCAGTGATTGATTTGAATTAATATGTAATCATTGAAAATCGCGAGAAATTCTCAAAAAATATTAGAAATCAAGAAATCAGTTTGTTACTCCTTGTTTCAACAGCAAAAATATAATACAATATTGAGTGTTATGTATCAAAAAAAACATTATGTTGAAATGCCTAGTGTAACGCTTTTGCTTCCGCAGACACATAAATGTGTGCAAATGTCTTTATCGAAGAAAGATTGTATTAGTATATGTTCTAACCGATGAGAAAAGTTTTTATCCTTGTTAAATGATACGAAACTCTTTTAAACAGTTAAAGATAAACACAGTCGAATGTATTTTTGTGTTCTCGGGAGTCAAAGAGTTAATCATTGTATGTTTGATGTAGATATAATTAGTTATGATATTCATGACGAAACATACTCTTCCTCTTCGTTTTTCAAAAATATAAAATACTTGAAAACACAAAGATAACTTAATAGTTATAAAGGATAATCAAAAAAATGTTTTGTCATTCATATAAATCTAACAAAGATTGAAGAGGAGAAGGTAGAATATTTAAACGAGACTCAGACTTAACCAGGAGGGCGTGGATCAGTCTCCTCCCTGCAGTTCACGACAGTGCAGCCAGTATATTATATTTTTTAGTTAGATAAAAATTATTTTAAATTATTCTATTGCTACATCTCTTTGGAGAGATGTCATATTTTCTATAGTATATAATAAAACATTCTGAATTGTTTCTTTTTTCAAATAATTATTTCAATAAAATGAATATGAGTATAACTGTATATAAAATCTCATTTACTATGGTTCACAAAAAGAACTTTCAAAAAATTTGCAAAACAGTAAGAATAAAATGTTTATTATTACTTCAATGTTATATAGAAAAGTATTAAAGAAAAAAAGTAGAAAAAGAACTGCGCATGTCGCATATCCGCTGCATTCATGCCCTAATGAATTCATCTTTATAAATAATCCAGTCTTCTACTTTTTTACTTTTCAACATTAATAATAATGTATGCATCATTCCTTAAAACATTATTATTACATTACTATATTTCAAAATGAAAATTACGTTACTGAAGTCACTGACAAAGAAAATTTTAATGTAGCTTATTTTTATTCCAAGCATGATTTCTAAAACATGTCTTTTTATATTTAAATTGATTGAAGCATAAATCCATCTCTTGCTATGTCAATTATTTTGATTGTGTATGACATATATAATTACTTCCATCTACATTGGAAAACATTATTTTTTTGTAAACTAACAAGAAAAAATAAAACAAATTATTTCATTCAGAATTATAATCATCTAAAATAAAAACTGTTGAATTCCAATGTCATCATCATCAATCATTACATCTCTTGCATTTATTGGTCAACAAATTACTATTTATTGTGGTATATCTCTTCTTATTGCAGGTACATTAGGTGGATTTATTCTTACTATTGTATTTCTTAGTCTTCAAGTATTTCGACAGAGTTCATGTGCATTCTATTTAACTATCATGTCAATTGTTAATATCGGTCAATTGTTGACTGGATTATTAACTCGCATTATGATTACAGGATTTTCTATTGATTGGACTGAAACTTCATTATTCTATTGTAAATTTCGATTATATTTTGCGAATGTTTGTGCACAAACATCTTCAACCTGTTTATGTTTAGCAATTATAGATCAATATTTTGCTACTTCTGCTCATCCGCGATGGCAACAGTGGAGTAATATCAAAATAGCTCATCGTTTAATCACATCATTCATTATTATTTGGGCCTTATGTGATATTCCATATTTAATTTTTTACAATCAGATTTACTCTACAACTACAAATAAAACTAGTTGTGTTAGTACAAACACTATTTTCACACAATATCGCATTTATTTTAATGCTCCTGTTATCATAGGATTTTTACCTGTTTGTATTGCATTATTTTTTGCAATTATGGCTTGTCTTAATGTACAACGCATTGCGTACCGCACAGTACCTCTCGTCAGGCGTGAATTAGATAAACAATTGACCTCAATAGTTCTTGTTCAAATTCCATGTTCTATTATTTCTATTGTACCATATGCTATTACAAATATTCTAACGTCAAATCAAAACTTAATGGCTAATCAAGTTATCTGGGCACAAATACAATTTGCTTCTTCAATGTCTCTCTTATTATTCTATTCTGGATTTAGTGTAAGTAAATATATGTATGTTGTAAGAAAATTGTAAGAAAAACAAATTTATATTTTATTTAGACTCCATTTTATGTTTGTATATTGGTGTCAGACCGATTTCGTCGACAGTTGATGTTTGTTTTAACAAAGATCTTTTGCTATCGATGGTCACGACGAAATGAAGTTGCTGCTGCTCAAATAGCATTAGAAGCATAAATTAACATTTATTTTTAGGATCATTAAAATGTCGTATATTATATATCATAAATTTGATGCTTTTGAATTACATGAAATAAATTATTTCAAAGTAATAATATAAACTTGATAAAACGTGACATTAAACTTACATGTCATTAATAGCGTTAAATTTATATACCAAGTTTTGAATATCTTTTTAGAGTCTGAGGACAATCATACGTAAAAATCATTTTTTTAAATACTTGTTCAAAGTACTGAAAAATATTTAAAAGTCTTTCTTTCATTCTGTTTCTACTATCAGTTTATCTATATTAAGAACAACGAATTGTTCATTTATTTACTCAATTTATTTGACTACATCTCTTGATATTTAAATCATTTTAACATTAATTTTTGTTTTTTGAAAATTTTATATATATATATATATAATTTGTATGACCTTCTTGTCATAAAGCACCCTCACACAAGATCAAAGATAATCTTTTCTTCTTTAAACAAGTGACCGTTTTGTTATTTTGTTTACATATATATACATACATTTTCATGGCAATAAATGCCAGCAACACGCCTCTTCACTTGTTATTTGTCACATCATCTCATATCATCCTTTGCTTTTCTCTTTTTCTTCAAGCACGTACAATGAGAAAGAAAAAGTGCGGTTCACATCATCACGTCAAAATCTTTTGATTCGCTAGCGGTAAATCACACAAATATATATATTTATTTGATCATAGTGATCATGATGATGATGATGATGCATCTCAAAACAAATATAAACATAATAAAAAAGAAAATAATCGAAATGCACCTGTCTTTGACCTTTCTCATTTAGTTCATTGATTGTTAATCTATACTCAATTGTCATTGTTATTAATCTCTAATCTTTTGTTTTTTCACATCTTACAATGAAGACAAATCCTCAATCTTTTTGTCAATAGCAAAATTACATATCAATAATACTAAATACTTTTCACATTTACTTTTTATTCTTCTTGTTAAATAAACACACATACACACTCATATACAATGAGAAAAAAAAGACGTAACTAATGAATTAGAAGAACAAAACAGAAAAAAAAACATTGTTTTGAAATTTTATTAATATTGTCCATTATTATGTGTTGTTGTTAATAAATTTTCATGTTCTTTTGGTGATGATGATGCTGAATGATTACTTAAATTCGGTACAATAGCTACTGGTTGTTGTAAATGTAAAAATGATGGACTTAACGGTGATGATGACGATGTACCATTATTTAATGGACATGTCAATGGTGCCATAAATGGATGATGAGATGTTGATGATGGTGTTGTTCCATATGGAAAATAATATGAAGCTGGACTTGAATAATATTGATTAGAATAATATGCCGCTGCTGCAGCTGTATTAGGTGATAAAGGTGATGATGATGAACATGGAATATTAGTTGGTGTTGTTTGAGTATAAAATAATGTTGGATCAAATGGTGAATTTGATGTTGATGGATATGGATCAAGTTTTGTTTGAAAAACTAAAATAAAATAAAATAAAATATTTCTGTTTTCTTCAAATGTGTCATCATTCCGGAATTGCACATTAGTGGTATAGTGTTAGTTTCTTTGATGAAAAGTTGTGTAATGTTTAAACAATTCTTTAAATAAATAAATAAATCTTACCATCAGTTGGTGAAGATTTTAGTTGAATTTGAGAATATGTATATGGTGATGAACGATATGATTGAAATTTTAATCTTTCAGGTCCACCTGTATTCATTGGTGATGATTGATGTGGAAAAAACATTGAATGATGTGCAAATGGTGATACATAATT